ACCTCTAGAACTTGGTCCAAGTTCTAGCTTTGAGAAATGCGTAGCCAATCAACTTGCAGCTATTCCATAAAAGTTGATTGACTACACGTTTCTCGAAACTATAGAACCTGGACCAAGTTCTAGCATCGTGGACGGCCACGCGCGTTCGAGACGCTTTGGGAAATTCGCCGTGTTCAGCCTGCAATTCACTTATTTACACTCGGCTGAAACGTACATCGCCGAGGCGAATTAAATGTCACCGAGGCGAGCGGACGGCGACGAGGTATTTTACGCTCCGATTATTACGCTAACAAAGCGCGGCTCACAACGGCTGCGTTCAGCGGAAGAGCTACATTGCAACATCTTAAAATTCGTAAATTTGATTAGAGTATGCTCCGAAATTCTGCCATAATTAAAAGCGCACGCCAATCAGATTCAAGGCTCTTACCACAGCTGCAAAGCAGCTTTTTCCGCTGAACCCCAATCAGTTCGCCGCGCTCCTCGCGAGCGCGAACGCGGCAATTTCAACTCTCGGAAGCGCGGGTGGGTATTTTTAGATGCGCGGGTGCTCGGTGATCCCTCTCGGTGCGCGGCCGAGAGCCGGCAGCAGTACACGGCGGATTGGAAGAAACGATTCTCTCGAGGCGCGGTAATGCGCCGTTAGCGGTAATAAGATTGAGGTAATAAGCGGTCGTTTTGGAGCGTGACCATCGCGCGTAGGAGTATTTGTACGTACGTCGCAACGCATGACGTTCCAAGCAACGAAACCGCGGGGGAAGGCGGACGAGCGAGCGAGCGAGCGAGCGAGCGAGCGGGCGGGTAGGCGCGATGCAGCGCGACGCGCCGGGCGTTCTCCGCGCAGCGGGAAGCGAAATTCGACCGTGTTCCGCCGTCGGCGCGAAAGTCCAGGACTTAATGCGGGATCTACAATGCGAGTCGCGGAGTCGTAGTCGTAAGAACAGTCGACTATGATTGGTTAATTCTTATGTGTCTGACTGAACTGACCAATCACAGTCGATTGTTCTTACGACTGCGGCTCTGAGGCTCGCATTGTAGACCCCGCATAACACAAGTCGTCGCGACGGGGACGCCTCGGGCTTCCCGCGGGTGAAAGCACGTGGAGGAGCGTCGCGTCGCGGAGTCTCGATTAAAAATTCAGATTACTCGTCTAAATTCATGGAGCTGAAACAGAGATGGACTATATATTCATTGTACTAATCATTGCAAGCGTCGTTGCTCAAGTATACTTTTCACCTTAAAAACTTACCTTTTCAAAAAGAGGTAAAGACAAGCGCCAAGCATAAGCGCTGTTCGAGCAATAACTATGCGATTGAATTATTTGAAAATACATTGTTACGAAAAGAACAAACTCTATTTGCTCTACAAAGGTAATGATATCAACAAATTGCATCAGCTACGGCAATAAACGTTTATGCAAATTAGACAATTTTATTCAATATAATTGTTACTTCATTTTATCTCCAAGACTCAACACGCGGAAAAGGAAGCCGGTCCCGGCCGGCGTTTTCTTTACTCGCAAGACTTATCGCGACCCCGCTTGTCTGCCGTCGCGATCGGGTTGGGTATCCGATTGGCGATAGCGCCGTGCATTCGTTTAATCTCGCCCGCCGACTGATAGATCCTATAAATTCGCGCCTTCGCGCTTGAGTGATAAGAGCCGGCCGTTCGGCAATGTTGAAGGAGAGATGCGTACTATCGGGGCATCTCTCGCGAGCATTTCTAATGCCGAAGCCGTAAATGCTAATGCGAAGCACCGCGCGGTTTACAATAGCCCGCTCCGCGAGCTTCGTAACGTGCGTGCGCGGAGATTACGCGTTGCGGGGGATAATAGACCTCGTAAATGTTGTAAAAGCATGTTCAAAAGAAAAACTAGGCCGCGATAATCCGACGCGACGTGCAAGTCAATAAAACTGCTGATGCACGTCACAACTACATTGCGCGCGCGCATGTCTTCCGGGAAGCGATTTCGAAATTGTACACGCGAACGAATGCACGATTCGCGCCCTCGGTATTATCGTCAAGCTTCGCACTTTGTAATATTATTACCAGCTGTTAGAAGAGATAATGACTGCGCCTAATGCTTTAACGGATCCGCGGCAACGAGCGTCTTGCAAATAAAGGAAACGCCGCTTCCTCTATTCGCACTTTCCACGCGTCGGGCTTCAGAAGCTTGAGCGATAACGCTCACAATTAGCGCAATAGATATAGGTACAGTCCACTCCCGTTTCAACCCCTCCAAGAATTTAGATGAGTTGCCTGAACTTTTAGCCGACAAACTTTCTAATGTATCTTTCAATTTGCCCAATTTAATAACCGCGTTAATTGCCAAACGCTTGTCGTTAGCCAAGCGTTAATTGCCGCGTTGCTGTTAGATATCTAATTTCCCAGAAACGAGCCGCGCGCGTTTTTAAGGGCGGGCTTAATTGCGGCGAGAGGACGACGGAGAGGAGTCGCAACGTGCGTACACACGAGGTACAATAGCAGATATACTCTCGGTTGTAATGTTCGGATAATGAGCTTCGTAGAGGCAGGCCGTTGCCCGACGCCTTAGAAATTCTTTAATGACTTCGTGTCGCGGTGCGCACACACCGAGATATGTCATTTAAGCTTCGTTCTGCGAGAGAGCCCGCCAGTCATTCGTCAAAGTGCCGTGAGAGAGAGAGAGAGAACCGTATGGAGGACGATCAGCGGAGGAGGACTCGTTGTGAAACCTCCATGGCAATCGCGAGGACTAATTAACGACGAGTTTAGAAGCCCGAGATGTTTACAAATCGATACGAATCGTCTATTTCTGAATTACGGCGCTTACTCTCGAAAGAACGGCGATTTTAACAGCAGCAAATTATTTATCGCCGGTAAAGACCCGACAAATTAAGTACCGAGGACAGACAAGAATATCTCGTTCTCCGATCAATTTTAAGTTAAGCCTTTGACAGTTGTTCAACCTTAGACTTAATTGCCCAAGTGTTTGGCGTTGAGGATTAAGAAATTGAGATCAACAATCACGGTCTTTTCAATTTTGATTAAGGGAACAGTCTTGTACTCTACAATCGGGAGAAAGTGTCTGCGATGGTCAAAGAGAGTCCGAATGCTTCTTCAGCGATGCGAGTTTCGAATAGCGTCTTAATACGCGTGTCACAGAACGTTATTTCCACTTCTATTCCTGCGAATGATAAACCGACTGCGGATGAATAATGAACGTCGTACTCGTGGTAATTAACTCTCTAGAAAAGAATACGTAACAATGCACACACTCGTTAAAAGTTAATGAAGCGTATCGACCCTCGCTTTCTCAAACAGTTGATAAGGTCGCGAGCAAACGTTGCGCAGCTCTCGCTTTCAAAATAAGAAACGTATGACGGAAGATATTATTTGAAAAACACACCTCGCACCCTCAAAAGTACACGTCATACAAAGCTTACCTTGCAATCTGTATCTTGTACTTGCAGGCAGACTAATTAAAGTGTACACCTATTACCAATAAAACTCGACTTCCGCCATTTATCAACTATTCTCGCGTGATTGCTCAATTTTCCCGATATGCAAACGCAAAAATTAATTCGGTTGCGATACGAATGCGCGTATAAGTGGAGTATAGACAGACGCAACAATTTATATTAACATTCACAGTAATAAATTCGCGTTTAAATTAATAATAAGTAAAGTGTTCTGTTTGTATAACGTATAAATAACAGAAACATCGTCAGCAAACATTTTCAGAATTAACCTTAGGATGTTTCTGAACGCAGAGTAATAAGAAGTTTACGTATGAGATAATATACAAAGTATATAGAAGCACTCCGGTATTAATTAATGACACGTAAATTTGCAGATTATCTTTTCTGATACATTCACCGACGTTCCGCCAGTATTTTATATCAGGAGTGGAGCATTCGATTGAATCAGTTCCCGAATCTTCAATCTCGCGGTTCCAAAGTCAGATCTACACTCCAAGAAATAATTGTACAGTTCGCCGAAAATTATTAAAAGTCCCCGCGCGCTCGTCCCTCAGCGACTCGCGCTTATCACAAATTCCACGCGCACTTGTCAACAAATCGAATCCCCTCGAGCGTCGCAAAATAACGTTATCGAAACGCCGCGCGATCGCAAGATTGGATGCTTACCTGAGGAATGCTCGCGAGGGACATCGCTCGTCGTGGTCGCTTGTTCGCGAAAATTTCTCAATTGTTCGCGAACTCACCGCTTCGAAACTCTGCCTGTCTCTCTCTGCCTCCCTTCCTCTTTCCCAATTAATGATCGAGCACCTTGTGCTGCGACCGACGACGACTCGTACACGCCGATCGTCCGATCACGACTGCAGCCCTTCGTTGCCGGCGCTCCAGGAGAGCGAGCCCACGAAGGAAAGAGGGAGATATCGCCGGCAGATCTGTGCCCCTACCACGCTCGCGCTCGCGAACCGACTCCGACAGACCGCTATTGTACACGCGGCGCTCGCACGGAAGCGCTCACACGGGATAGCAACGAGCCAGGATGTGCCTCGGGATACCGTCTACCCCTCGCAGAAAGATCGGGCCCTCGGGCGTCTGTAATACCTCCGCGCTGCCAAGTATCGATGCACATCCCTACCCGATTACTTTCGTGGTTATTGATCTTGCAGACGAAATTGATTCGACCCGAACGATCTTTCCGTTTAGAATATTAGTCTTCGATGTTACTCCGCGCGTTTGGAAGCGCGATGAAGAACATCTTCTAGGTCTAGAAACAGCGAGAAGTGCCAAGTTGACCGGCTGGATATACTACTGAGAAAAAAGCCTTTGAAAATTTATTTGTATTATTTCAGTGAAATAAACGTCATATGCCATTTTTTATTTACTTTACAAATATTTTATTATTCCAAATTTAATATTTTCTAGTTTTTTAAACTAGAAACTACTCTAGTTTTTCACTGAAATAAGCATTATATGCCACATATAAATTTTCAAAGACTTTTTCTCAGTGTACGGTAGTCTTCGCCATATTGAGACTTACGCCCAGAAAAACAGATTCATTTGGGTTAATTTCTTCGAATCCACTAAATTTTTGTTAACTTGTACTAAAACATTTGCTGGATTTCAAGAAATAGATGTGAATTCTCTTCGAAGTTCCGGTCTGGGTCAAATAAAATTTTGTCAAGGTACACTGATAG